ATTGAATTATCGTTAGCTGTTTGTAAATGGCACTAGTGTAATGAAAATAAGAAAACAAAAATGTCGACCACGAATCTCACCAAGGTTATATTTTTACGCACCCTATGCTGTTTCCATGTTTAGTGGCTCAGAAGGAATTTATGAAATCATTGTTTTCTCACTAGCTAATACTCGCCTACAGCCATTTTAATCGCTAAACTAAGTGACTAAATTGATATAATGCTAAATTATTGAAATAATTTTCCTATTGATTTTATATGTTTAGTCCATAGGCTAAAGCTATAGCTGTTTATCATGCAATTTCGTTTATTATCATAGTTGGTACACGTAGCTTCAAATGGTTGCGCCTAATCAGGAAAATTTTTGCCACAGTGTACATTCCTGAGCCCGCGCCCCCCTCAAAAAACAAACAAAAACAAAAACAAACTGATGAACGAAAATCCAAACAAAAAAGACAAGAGAAATGGAACGAGGTTATAGTGGGAACAAGACTGCTTATTTAACTTGTTGGTAATTCCACGTTTATTTTCTTTAGTGTCGGAAAGCAAGTTGATCATTCAACGTTTAACAGAGCTATGGAGTCTGAAGAAGCTGACAAAGTCGAGTTTTCACAACCCCAGACAAACGTCCGCAAGAGAAAGCCAAGTCTGGTGCGAGCAATAGCCAAAGTATTTTGGCAGAATTTTGTTTTAGCAGCTGTCTTCAAACTCGCATACGATACAGTGCAGTTTGTACAACCACAGCTACTGAAGTAAGTCTTATTAAGCGTTAATTTGTACTTCATCATACACAAAAAGAAAAATGATGTATCCAATTTTTATAGTCTTGAAAACTGAAATTGAGATTCATTTTGGAAAGATTTACGCGACTCGTGTAAATCCAGTTAGGCCGCAGAGAATGTAATTCCAGTTGCCAGAGACTATGTAGGGCGTTGATCAGTGAACACGCATAAAGAATTTAACTCTCAATATAGTGAAATTATTATTATTTTTAATTCTATAGTTTGCTGATCGAATACTTAGAGGACCGAAACAGTAAGCTTGCAGTATGGAAAGGATATATCTTCGCCGGAGCTATGTTTTTAACAGCGATTATACAGTCCTTTTTACTCCAGTATTACCTTCATCACTGTTATTTAGTGGGAATGAAGCTTAAAACGGCCTTGTTGGGGCTCATCTATGAGAAGGTAAATGAAGGAAAGCAGGTAGGCAGGAAAGAAGAAAGGAGGGAGGGAGAGAGGAAGGAAGTGAGGAGGCAACGGAAGGGAGAAGGAGCAAACGGAGGGAAGCAGGGAAGAAATGCAGGAGGGAGGGAT